CGAGATAGTGTGCAACTGCAATAAAAAAGGCCACCGCTATGATGGGGTTTATTAGGAAGGGAACTGAAAACAAATCAGCCAGTATCATAATGCCCCTATATAAATCGATGGTGCAACTTCATTTGGAGTACTGTGTACAGTTCTGGTCACCACACCTCAAAAAGGATATTATAGCATTGGAAAAAGTGCAGAAAAGGGCAACTAGAATGATAAAAGGGTTGGAACACTTTCCCTATGAAGAAAGGTTAAAGCGCTTGGGACTCTTTAGCTTGGAGAAACGATGGCTCAGGGGTGACATGATTGAGGTTTATAAGATTATGCATGGGATAGAGCAGGTAGAGAAAGAGGTACTTTTCTCCCTTTCTCACAATACAAGAACTCATGGGCACTCAATGAAATTGCTGAGCAGTTGGGTTAGAACGGATAAAAGGAAGTATTTCTTCACCCAAAGAGTGATTAACACATGGAATTCACTGCCACAGGAGGTGGTGGCGGCTACAAGCATGGACGGCTTCAAAAGGGAATTAGATAAACATATGGAGCAGAGGTCCATCAGTGGCTATTAGCCACAAGGTATAGATAGGAACTCTCAGTCTGGGGCAAGGGATGCTCTGTATTCTTGGTGCTTGGAGGGGCAACAATGGGAGGGCTTCTAATGTCCTGGCCCCACTGCTGGACCTTCTGATGGCACTTGGTATTTTTGGCCACTGTGTGACAGTGTTGGACTAGATGCGCCATTGGCCTGATCCAACATTGGCATCTCTTATGTTCTTATGTCTGTGCAAGATTTGTGTAAAATGAATGGAACAGCGAAACCGTAGATCATGACCTTGTGAGGAGTCTGCATCCTGGCAATGGCTAGCTTGCCATGCTGGTCTCGCCTCACTCCAGTGGTGGCTTGGCTGATGGGAGTAGTGGGATCTGATCACCAAATGGTTTCCCTCAGCTTCATGGTTAAGTTTGCAGAAAGGCTCTGCCTTCCCAGCACCCCTAGTGGCTGCAGTCAGAACTGCATTAGGATTTTTTTTAAAAAATGCATTTGGTGAATTCAGCATGACAATGGGTTCAGGGGCCCTCCAGCTGACTTGGTCCCCCCGAATTTTGTGGCCTCTGCCCCCCTTTTTCAGTGGCCCTGATTATGCTGGCAACTGCCACCCCTGCCACACTCAAGATTGTACTGTTGTATAGAGTGAATGCTTGATAAATAGTATGTTGGTTTTAACATTTCTTGTGTTAGAGTTATGCAGTTTTCCAGTATAATTTTTTTCCTGAGCACTGCGTAAATGTTGTTGGGAGCAATGTTCCCTCTAAGCTGTGGAGTCTTGTGAGCAAAAATTCTACTTTGTAAGCTACTGGCATTAAAGTTGTGAGCGAGCAATTTGGTTACTGCATAGATTAGTCTGCTCTGGAGCCATCCTTCCTGAGCTAAGACAATAGTGTGTGAGCAGGAGGCTAAAGAACTGTGAGCTAGCTCACACTAACTCAGCTCAGAGGAAACACTGGTTGGGAGATATTCTTTAAAGCGATGGCTGATGTAATTATGATACAACTATCAACTACTAAGAGTGGAGTGGTTTAATCTGTCAAGTCGAAATGGGCTTTGCTTGAGTTTTTAATTTTAAAAAATTATATTCACAGAAAGAAACCCTGAAATCAGATCTCATTGTGTGCTCTGTGGCTGCCGTGCTTTCATTCGCAGTTAGTGCCAGTACTGTTTTCTTGTCATTGCAGGTAGGTTTCATAGCCCTCCCTCCCTCCCTCCCATGTTGTTTCCTAAGATGTTACTGCAGACTATTATATTAGACATGGTAGAAGAAGAAATGGTTGGTTTTTAAGTGGTAATGGGAATTTTGTAAACTGCACACACTTAGGAATCTATACAATGCAGTTATAAGAAAGACCTGTATAGAGTATTAGGAGAGGAAGAATTATGTTGGTAAGATATGAGGGATAAGCACTGGAAAGCTTGACTGAAAGAGGTCCTTAAAAAGCTAAAGCTAAAGACCAAAAAGATAGGTGGAGGAGGGGAGGGGAGTTCCTTTCTATTCACAGCTTGCGTCTGTAGAGGAGGGAGAAAGGAAAGTGATTTTCTGAGTTTCCCCCTGTCATTACTACCCTCCATCATGTGATACATTTTGTTTGTGATGCTCTCCCAGTCTTTGAAATAGAAATTTAGGACAAAAGCCTAGCTACTTGAGGAACGAGAAAGTTCTACTTTATCAGTGCCTTCTATGAAATCTTCCACTCAATCCAATCCAATGCACTCAGCAGTTTGCTGTGTGGGTAACACCTTCTGAGTGGAGAGTTTGTACTCCCATCATGGCTAGAAAGGCTCACAATAATGTTAAATGCTCCACACAAAAGGAAGATTGATGTACCAAGATTTTCTACACACTACAGTTCTCATATGAAGCCACTGTTTCAAATGGCCTTCACATGGTAGCTATTTTGGGATGCCAGATCCTATTTTCTCCCTGGTGAGGGGATTTGGGGGGCATGCCAGAAGGGGCTGTCCCTGACGTGATGGTGTCACACACAGACATCATTTTGTCAGCGACGTGGCACTGTGTCAGGAATGTGGCCCTTTAAATGGATGGGGGAAGGCAGGGACCACCTGTGCCTGCCCTGGAAGCGGCAAGTTCACTGCTTGCAGGGCAGGCACAAGTGACCCCCACTCACTCCAAAAGAACGGGGCCCGTGCGTGCCTGCCCTGCAACAAGCAAGATCGCAGCTTGCAGGGCAAGTGCAAGTGGCTCCCACTTCAAAAGAGCGGGCACTGTATGCACCTGCCCTCCAAGTGCCAATCTCACTGCTTGCAGGGCAGGCGTGTGCGTGCTGTTTTGAAGCGGAAGCCAGTGAGATTGCCACTTGCAGGGCAGGTATGCATGGCCCCCACTCTCTTCAAGTGGGTCTACCAACAACTATTGGGGGTGGGGATTTCCCTGCCAGCCAGCAGCCCAGCATTTGGGAGGAGCCCTAAAATTGGGGGATCCCCTGCCCTCACCTGGAGACTAGCATCCCTATAGCCAGGGGTCTTTTGGGGCCGGAGCGCACTGGAGCACCGCTCTGGAAGCCCAGGTGCTGGCACAAATGGCGGTGGCAGCAAGCCCTGCCCCCAGCTCTCTGTGCTGAGGTCCGTCGCCGGCCTCCCGTGGCCCACGCCGGAGCGCTGCTGCCCTAGGAAGGCCAGAGGAGGCCCGTCACCAGCTGCCTGGGGCTTGCGCGGGAGCGCTGCCACCCCAGGGGGGCCTGTTGACAGCCTCCTGGGGCTCGCGCCGAAGCGCTGCCGCCCCAGGGAGAGCAGAGGAGGCCTGACGTTAGCTCCCTGGGGCTCGCACCGGAGCGCTGCCACCTCAGGGAGGCCAGAGGAGGCCCATTGCTGGCCCCCTGGGGCTCATGCCGGAGTGCTGCCGCCCCAGGGAGGCCAGAGGAGGCCCATCACCGGTTCCCTGGGGCTCACGCCGGAGCGCTGCTGCCCCAGGGAGGCCAGAGGAGGCCCGTTGCTGGTTTACTGGGGCTCGCGCCGGAGCGCTGCCGTCCCAGGGAGGCCAGAGGAGGCCCATCACCGGTTCCCTGGGGCTCACGCCGGAGCGCTGCTGCCCCAGGGAGGCCAGAGGAGGCCCGTTGCTGGTTTACTGGGGCTCGCGCCGGAGCGCTGCCGTCCCAGGGAGGCCAGAGGAGGCCCATCACCGGTTCCCTGGGGCTCACGCCGGAGCGCTGCTGCCCCAGGGAGGCCAGAGGAGGCCCGTTGCTGGTTTACTGGGGCTCGCGCCGGAGCGCTGCCGTCCCAGGGAGGCCAGAGGAGGCCCATCACCGGTTCCCTGGGGCTCACGCCGGAGCGCTGCTGCCCCAGGGAGGCCAGAGGAGGCCCGTTGCTGGTTTACTGGGGCTCGCGCCGGAGCGCTGCCGTCCCAGGGAGGCCAGAGGAGGCCCATCACCGGTTCCCTGGGGCTCACGCCGGAGCGCTGCTGCCCCAGGGAGGCCAGAGGAGGCCCGTTGCTGGTTTACTGGGGCTCGCGCCGGAGCGCTCCTTCCTTCGTTCCTTCTCTCTACTCTCTCTCTTTCCTTCCTTCCTTCTTTCCTCCTTCTGTGCCCCAAATCTAGTGAGAAGGAGTTTAAACTTTAAACCCCTTCTCTCTTCGCTTCCCCCCCCCCAGGGAAGGGGAGGGGAGGCTTTTGAAGATGCCTTCCCCCCTTTTGCTTCTCCTTCTGACGCCACTTCCGGTGATGTCAGGGGGCATTGCATATGCTAATGAGCTATTATGCTAATAGCCTAGTAGATCATTAGCATATCGTATGCTAATGAGCTCCTGCAGCTTTTTTCCTAAAAAAATACCCTTGCCTGTAGCTATCACTTAAAGACCAGCACCCAGTAGTCTTGCCTTCTTAGTTCCCTTCTTTGTTATATTTGGTGTATTCTGAGTTCCTGGTCTTACATTTCAATGACATTCCCTGTGAGACACTTTCTGTGTTGTATGCTGAATATGATGGACTGCTTAGGCCATGAATGTAGAGATCAAATCGTTTGCAGAAGTGAGAAAAATCACACAAAAGCATTTATTTTATTTTCTCGTGAGCTAAAAGCTAAATACATCTTGTATATCAAGCACATTATAAAAATGAAAATGAACAGTAGATTTTGCTTTCATTTCCTCAATTCCATATCTGTTCCCCACCTGCTGCATTTACAGGCATATATGTTTTCAAAATAAAAACAGAATATTTTTGAATGAAGAAACTTCAAGAGAATAATGGTATTTTTAAAATTTGAACATGTATCTAAAAATAAAAAATACACTATGTATCTAAAATATTGTTTTTAAATGAGATTTAGGGTTTTTCCCCCCCTTTCTTTTCCTTTTAACTCAGCCATTTCTCAGCATTGTGCTTTTCGCTTTAGCATGGACTGTGGGATTCGTAACACACTACATACTTCCTCAGCTCCGCAAACACCATCCATGGTTGTGGATTTCCCACCCTATTCTTAAAAATAAAGAATATCGGCAGAGAGAAGTAAGAGGTATGGAAGCACTTGTTTTGCTTTTTTAAAAAAGTATTCCCACCCCCAAAATCGCATGGTATTGTCTACTTGTTTTGCAACAAAAATTGGATGAAATTATTATATGACATTGTGGGTTACAAGTTGTTATCATTCAGGGAAAATGAAGGTAATTGAATAGCAAGAGAATGTAAACCTTTTCACATTGTGAGTAGGTATCTAGGTAACAGAGTCAGTTGCTGGGGATAAAAATCACAGCCAAGTAAAGATTATAGAGAAGCAGGTGCAGCTATCTCAGAAACTGTTCCCAGAAGGAAAAGACTGTTAGAGAAAAATTACCTAGTTTGGATTCTTGTTGGAAAACTCTCTTCTGGATTCAATTCCGACTTAGTTTTGCCAGCTCCCGGTTGGCAAATTCCTGGAGATTCGGGGTGGAATCTGGGGAGGGGAGGGACCTCAGCCATTTTCTCCAGGGGAACTGATCTCTGTGATCTGGAGATCAGTTGCAATTCTGAGTGATCTCCAGGCCTCCGCTAGCAGTTGGCAACCCCATTCTGACTAGACCCATACATGTATTATGCAGATGTACACACAGTTTTCACTACAAATAGTTTTAAAATTGCATCGATTTTCATTTAGTTTATTTGTAATGTTTGGGAAAATTTCAAAATAACGCCTTTAAAATTTTGCATTCTGTACATATTATAATCCCTTCCCCAAACCAGGTTGAAATACCAACCTGAGAACCATTCTATTTACTACCAACTGTTTATGTTTACTTCATCATTTTACAGTTTGCCTGAAGTTTATTTCTGTTCACAGTTGTGCTCATCTATTATTTATTTATTTAGAATATTTTTATGCTTCCTCTTCAAAGTTCTGCTCAAGGTGGTTTATAACTAAAAGCCACAATATAACACAAGCTGTTAAAAGACAAGCCATTAGACCTAAGTAATTTTATCTATAAAACAGAAGTAGGCCACTAAAAGGTTGATAAGGTAAATCCCCTAATTAAAAGCCTGATAAAAATATGTGTTTTAGCCTGCTACCTAAAAGAAAGTAAAGGAGGTGCCAGGTGAGCTTCAAGGAAAAAGGCATTCCAGATGCGAGGTGCCACCACAGAAAATGCCCTGTCACTGGTTGCCATCCTCCTCACCTCTGAAGGGAGGGGCACAGAGAGCAGGGCTTGAGAGGCAAGTCTTAACTGGTGGGCTAGATAGTGCTGGAAGAGATGGTCCTTCAGGTAACCTGTCCCCAAGCCATTTATGGCCTTGAAGGTAAAAACCAGCACTCTGAATTGTGCTCAGAAACAGGTGCATAACCAATGCAGATCTTTCAGCACAAGGGTGATGCTATCCCTTTAAACACCCTACTTGCTCCATTTTGGACCAATTGATGTTTCCAAACTGATTTCAAAGGCAGCCCCCCTTCTATGGAGATACAAGAGTGTTTACAGTGATTTGTCTGGTTGTGTGCAACCCCACACCTCATTAGCTACATAGCTGTGGTTCCATATGGCAAGTAATGTGATGGAAAACTGTGACCAGCCTTTCTCTATAGGTGGAACTTCAAAGAATGAAACAAAAAATCAGTAATTTTCTGAGAACAGCAGCAGCTTCTGTACTTCTTTCTTATAACCAAAATCCAAACATTTTTTATTTATTCATTTAGAGTATTTTAATGCTGCCTCTTCAGCGTCCTGCATACAATTAAAAACCACAATATTAAAACACAAGCCACTGAACATCATCAGGATAAAAACTATCCATAAAACAGAAGCAAACCATTTAAAAGTTGACAAGTGTTAATGAATTGTCAGAAATATATACATTTAATGACAGTTACATTTACCCATTTACTCTAGGAAGGTAACAGCGTTCCGTGCGCCTTGGTGTTTAGTCATGCCGGCCACATGACCACAGAAATGTCTTTGGACAGCGCTGGCTCTTCGGCTTTGAAACGGAGATGAGCACCGCAACCCTAGAGTCGGATTTGACTGGCTTTCAAGCAAGGGAACATTTACCTTTTACTTACATTTACCCATACCTATCGATAATGCACAACTTCCAAAAATAAATAATACCTGTGGGTTGCTGCTTGCCCCCCCCCCCCAGCTTCTTGATGAAGCCGATGGGAAAAGATTCCTACTCAGTGGACAAGACTCACTGATTCACACCCATAGTCTTCAAAGGGGATCCCCCCCCCCAAGATCACTAAAGGGTGGTAAGTGGAATGGTGATACTGGGGGGGGGGGAATCCTGAGCTCAGGTTGATGGGGCATTATGATGGGGGGAGCATCAAGCCTCCCCTTTTAACCAGAAAATTTCCCATTATAAACGCAGGCTTTCATTCTTAAACATCACAATCTGTTTTGCAAATCATTCTTACATGAGACATATCTTCGCACCCACTGGCCTCACCCAGGCAGCTGCTGTTTCTCTTTAAAAACACTGTAGGGATCTATTAATGACTCTCCCCATGTCACACCTACTCTGGTCTTTTTTCCTGCGCAAGGAAGTTGGGATTTATGAACCTAGCGAGCACCATGATTGAGCAATGAGAGGGGAGGGAGGAAGGGGAAAAGATGTGTCCAACTATTATGTCCTCCCTGAAGTTCATTTATTGGTTTCCTGTTGCTTGCTAGTGGTGCTGGTGGGGATATGGGGATCCACATTGTCATCGGTGCCACAGCATCACTTGTGGGGGAAACCCAGAAGTGACATCATGTAGCTCTAGGAACCACCAGAAACTGTGTGCACTAAAGGAGGCAGTGGTTTGCCCTCACCTAAAAAAAAAACATCCCTGGATCGGGCTGAATTAGCTAGTTACCGGCTGGTATCCCCAAATAGGGCAAACTGATCGAGAGGGCAGTAGCAATTCAGTTGCAGGCCTTTTTGGATGACATCTCCATATTAGATCCATTCCAGTCCAGTTTCCAACCAGGCCATGGGACAGAGACGATCCTGGTCACCCTCACAGATGACTTCTGGAGGCACCTGGATCGAGGTGGTACGGCAGTGTTGTTGTTGTTAGACCTGTCAGTGGCATTCAACATGGTTGACCATCAACTACTGATCCACCACCTTGCTAATGCCAGGATTCAGGGGGTTGCCTTGCAATGGCTCTCCTTATTCCTTCAGGGTCGGGGACAAAGGGTGGCCATTGGGGGAGCAGCTACCCAGAAGGCACCCACTAATTTGTGGAGTGCCCCAAGGAGCGGTGCTTTCCCCAATGCTATTCAACATCTATATGCGCCCCCTTTGCCAGATTGCCTGGAGGCATGGACTGGGTTGTCACTAATATGCAGATGACACCCAGCTCTATCTGTTGTTGGACAGCCAGTCAGACTCTAGTCCGGGAGATCTGGACCTGGCGTTGAAAGCCATGGCTGGTTGGCTTAGACTGAATTGACTGAAATTGAATCCGATGAAGACGGAGGTCCTATGCCTGAGTCGGAGCGGACCAAGGTTAGGGATCCCTCTCCCAACCTTCGATGGGATGTCATTGGTGCCAGTGCCAGAGGCTAGGAGCTTGAGAGTGCTCCTGGATGCCTCCTTAACGATGGTGGCCCAGGTAGCAGCCACTGCAAAGTCTGCCTTTTACCATCTACGGCTGATTAAGCAGTTGGTTCCCTTCCTTGAACGCAATGACCTGGCAACAGTGATCCATGCAATGGTCACCTCGAGATTGGATTACTGCAATGCTCTCTACATGGGGCTGCCCCTGTCCCAAATCCAGAAGCTGCAGCTGGTGCAGAACGCAGCGGCGAGGCTGTTGTTGTGTCTTCCTGTGCGGGAACACAGCCAGCCAGCCCTAAAAGCACTGCACTGGCTGCCTATAGCATACCAGATTCAGTTCAAGGTGCTGGTTCTTACCTTTAAAGCCCTATATGGTCAGAGACCTACTTACCTAAGGGACCGCCTTTCTCCACATGTTCCCCAGAGAGCACTAAGATCGGGGTCCCAAAACCGTCTGGCCCTCCCAGGGCCTAAAAAAGCCAGGCTAACAGTGACGAGGGCCAGGGCCTTTTCTGTGGTGGCCCCTTACTGGTGGAATGAGCTCCCAGATGACATCAGGTCCCTGCGGGACCTTTTACAGTTCTGTGGGGCCTGTAAAATGGAGCTCTTCCACCAGGCCTTTGATTAGGGCCTGCCTCTTAACATTGAGGCCCTGGCCCTCCAACATCAGCACCAATTTCATATCTTATAGCCTGGCGAGAACTCAGACTGTGGTGGTAATTTGACTGTCTAGATGCTGAGACAACGCCACCACCATTTATTAGTATTATGTTTGCCAGCACCTGTTTGCACATGTTGTGGTTTTAACTTTATTACTGTTTTAGTGTATTTCGCTGTTTTAATATATTTATATTGATACATATTCTGTAAGCCGCCCTGAGCCTGCCTGGCAGGGAGGGCGGGATACAAATTAAATAAATGTAAAATTTAAAACCCCATAGCGTTCCCAGCTATTCCTAAGGCTACCCATTGCCACTTCTGGGTTTTCCCTGGAAAGTGACATTACAGCTCAGACAACACTAACTTTTTCCCCACTCCCACCACTACTTGAAGCAGCATCAGGTAATGAATGCTGCTGACAGGAGGCCTTCCGCCATAGCTGAAGACCTGACAGCCCTAAGCTAGATAACGAAGCGTTAGGATTTCTGTGACTTTAGTGAGAACTAGAAATGGAGAGAAAAATTTACTTAATTTGTTTTTTTTAAAAAAAAACATCAAGATTGACACTACAGATTGGCATCACTGTATTGGCTGGAGCAGGGTTCTTGTAGTCAGTTTTTGCATATATCAAGCTCATGTGGTCTTGCATTTAGACTGCTGTCAGAGAATATGTGTCTCTAGGATATAATGAATTTGTGTTATCTCTGTGACCTCAACCCACCGCTTCTGTGTAATGTTCTGGGGATCTGCCAGAAATTCCTCCCAAGTTGCACTGAAATGAACAGAACCTGTGTAAGAGCAAGGTGGGAGGTTGCTCCCTCTGTTTAGAACAATCTCTACCATCTGTGCTCTCTGTGTATGTTAGACAGTTTCAGCTGGCCACCTGTACTTATTCTATCCTTTGAATTTTGTTCTGTAGTATTTAGTGGTATTACCTTTTTGCAAATATTGCATGCTATTGAGTCAGTTTTTTTATAAATATATGTAGGCATCTCTTTAGAGGGCCAGTTTGGTGTAGTGGTTAAGTGCGTGGACTCTAATCTGGGAGAACCGGGTTTGATTCCCCACTCCTCCACTTGCACCTGCTGATGTGACCTTGGGTCAGTCACAAGCTCTGGCACAGCTGTCCTTGAAAAAGAGCAGTTTCTGTCAAGAGTTCTCTCAGCCCCACCCACCTCACGGGGTGTCTGTTGTGGGGAGGGGAAGGGAAAGGAGTTTGTAATCCGCTCTGAGACTCCAAGTGAAGGGCAGGGTATAAATCCAATCTCTTCTTCTTCTTCTTTAGCATAAAATCCTGGCCCTTAAAAAGCATTTCAGTTTTTACATTTTTGGCAGAATTATTTTTCAGATGTTTGGATGTAGAACAAAGTTTGAGTGGCAAGAATGTAGGCGCCTGTGATTTTAATTTCTTGCATTGCATCCTCATGAGTAGGAATGGGCACGAACCGAACCACGAAGCAAAATTCATGACAAATTTTGACCTATTCATGGTTCGTGAACTGAAGTTCATGATGGGTCTACTGTCATGAACTTCCATGAACGTTTAAGGCAGTTTGTGGGGTTTGTGCAGGTTCATGGCCAGAGCAGAAAGCAGGGATTTAAAGGAAGTCCGTTTAAACTCCTGCTTTCTGCTGCAGCAGAAAGTCACAAAAACAGCTGAGCAGCTGGGAGTACGTGCTGCTGCTCAGCTGTTTCCGGCTTTCTTGTGCAGCCCCTTTAAAGTTTAAAGGGACTGCACAAGAAAGCTGGAAAAGGAGGAGCAGCCTGTCCAGGGTCAGGGCTGGGTGTCACTTCATCAGGGGAAGCCCCTACCCAGTGCCCAGCAATCCAGGAGAGCCTGGGTGCTCATCCACCCTCCCCCATTGCTTGAGGAAGCCCCATCACTCAGATGATTTTGCAGCTTTCTGAAAACCCCATTTTAAAGAGACTGCTGTCTCTTTAAATGAGGTTTGCTGGGACCACAAACCATGAACCAAACCAGTGCCTCAGAGAGCGAACTGGTTTGGTTCATGGTTTGGCCACAAACCGAACTGCATTTTTGCAGTTTGTGACCATCCCTACTCATAAGACAGCATAAAATTGAATGAAAAAGTCTCCATGTTGACAATTTCGTTTTAAGTAACTGCTAGCTTCAGCAGGTGGTGACTTGAATGCTAGGGATATCTGTAAATGTTTCTTAAACTGTGAGCTGCCTTGTCTTTGATAACATTGATTTGTGTCTTAGCTACCCTCTTTTCTTTGCTGCTATAGGAACTTGCTGTCAGGTTTTGATGGGTTTGTGTTTTAATTACACTCAATATGTGTGTTTGACACTTTTGAAGATAAGAATGTCAGAATAATGGCTGCTTGTGTGACCTCAGTCTTTTTTCAAAACCAGCCCAACTTCTTCTCTGTGGGAAACATCCTTATAAGACACATGCTAAATGTCTGAGACGTGGTATAGCTGTGTCTGCAGAACAGTTAATTTTAAGGCAACATCCTAGATTGCAGGATTTACCCAGGAGATAAGTTGCAGAAGGACAGTGGGAGAGTAAACAAAGCTCAACCCTTCTTTTAACTCCATTTGAAAAATAAAACCTGGATAATCAGCAAGTCTTTGAAATAGCATAATGTCATAGTAATGCATATCTTAAAGATCATGCATTGTGATACAGTCTCCCACGCTTGTTACTTACTTGGCAGGGATGTTAACATGTACAAGAATAACCTTTGTACTTCAGAATAAAGGCAATTTCTCCGAAAGTCATCAAGATCATCCTAGGCTGTGGATGGTGCCCAGACACCACCACCCCCTGCCACACGCAATGCCTTACAGACTAGGGTAAAAGTTCATAACTGAGATAGCAGGCAGGGGGTGGGGGTAGTGCTTCAATTTGGTAAGTCAAAGATTTTGTCAAAAATATAACTGTTAAAAGAGGGAAACTCTCAGTTATGATCAAAACTTTAATGCTTGGAATTGAAGTTCTACTGTCATCAAGAATATCTTACCATGGTTTGAAATATGTTGTATCTTCTGTGTATTAAATAAGTTTCAGTAAGCAACTATTGTTGACATAATCTCCTCTGATTTCCTTATTAATTGAGTGATTCCCACTTGAAATCGGTCACAAACCCGCCCTGGATCTATGTGTGTTTACATGCATGTTGTATGTTTGTATTCATGTAAAGCATGTTCCTTTTCATTGTGCCACCACCCCAAGTTAAGATCCCAGCCTGCCATGATGCCAATGACTTGGGAAACACCGGTAAAGGCTGTCTCTGAGCAAGTACAAAGTGCAGAGTTTCCCAGTTACTTCAACCCCTCTCCAGTGAGTGTGCATGTCAGCAAGGCCAAGCATAAGTGAATTATCTAGATCTAAGGTTACGTGAAGGGGTATTAAATAGATATCACGCCTACTGGTTACAGTTACAATGAAAAGAACAGAAAACCTAACACTAAGCTAAACTTTACAGAAGAGCTGCCTCCAACATCCCTGCCTGGATGTCTGCGAAACAAATGCACAGCCAGACTCCCACTTTCTCCCAGCATTTGGACAAAGCATTTGGACCCAGACCATTTTTTTTAACCTTTCCTGTCTTTGTTGGCAGGAAGGTTCTCCCAATCCAGATTTAGGGAATTTACTTCCACATGGGAAGGTGAATCCCAATCACCCAATCAATCCAGGGCTCCTGCCGCAAACATCTCAATATCCTGGTCATGTTTTACAACTGCTAATGGTTATCTCTCTGTGGAAATTCTTTTCTGCTCTCTCTAACCTCTTTGTGCATTTTTTATGGGTCCCTTTCTTGGTAAAACAAATGGTTTTCAGGATCCCAGGAACTCCCTGATGGGCTTCAAAGCACCTTGCATCACAACAATCAATGGTTGTGTCCAAAAGTCTCTGTCTCCCCTTAACTGTGGCTAGTTTTCTTTGTTGTGTCTTCTGCTGTTTCTAAAGCTGCCATTTCCCCCTCAAATTTAAACAGCTCTGACCCACTACTCATGCATGCAGGGACATTTGGAATGTTGGTCTATTATCTTGGGCTTAAATTGTTCCTATGCTCAAAAGCTGCTTTGGATTCTTTTCCTGATTTTAGCACATATTACAAGGCCCAAATGTAGTGTGAATCCTCATCATATGAGCCTATTATTAATACTCATTTTAATAAATGAATGCTACTTAGCAGCATGCTGTCTCTATTATTTGTGCTGAATGTATTTTGACAGAATATTGCCCTTTTTTTTGGAAATTTCAGGTGCTGCCCATTTAATGTGGTTTGAAAGACTCTATGTGTGGCTTCAGTGTTTTGAAAAGTATGTCTTATATCCCGCAATTATACTGAATGCCCTCACCAATGATGCTTTTTCAATCAGCAAATACAAGAGGCTAACCCCACAGTAAGTGGTTTATACTCGATAATGTTTGGATGTGCAAGCAAAAACATAAATGGATTTCGTTCATGCAAGATCTTGTGGAACACGTAGCATTTTTCTCCCTATATATTATAGTGCCCAGAAATTGATTGAACATCTTGCTCAAGTGGAAACGCAAGTAGGCATACAATAAGTTTGACAATGCAAGCAGTGAATGCAGTCTTTTGGTTGCATTTCCACTTGTGCAAGAGCCCTAGCACAAGCAGAAATTTTGCTCTGGATCCAACCCTAAGGCATGCGGTCACACATGCCAGTTGGAGCAGAGAGGAAGCAAGGCTATTTCCTCCAGAGGAATTTGACTCACAGTTGCGAGATCACACATCCCTTTGTGCTGCGGGCTCAGCCCATCACTGCGAGTCTTTTTTTTTTGCCATTTGTTTCCCATGCACATAAACAAGGAATCGCACCTCCACAATGAAGGTTCCCCATGGAGTATGCAATTATGCACCTACTGTGAGGGGGGGGGAAACGGCACAGAGTCGGGAGGGAATGATCAGACCATCCCGGCGGCATGAGAGCGTGCTTGAGCTATCAGACAGGGGGAAGTCCATCCGTGGAACGTTGGAACCAGTTAGAGCCGGACTTTCCCCGGTGTCTTTTAACTCCGCTTCTGTGGCAGAGCAGCACGAGTTGCTGACGACTGCAAGATGTTTCCCAGATATTGCTGTCTGATTGTGCCCTTTAGATCTGTCAGGCATTCACAGCTGTGTCAGATCTAAAGGCGCATATGATCACAGCCTAAGAATGGATTAGGAGATAAGGAACAGTACAACTCTCTCAGGTAGCACTACTTGTGGACCCAACAACTTGGATGCTGCATAACAGCCATGTGCTGTGGTTTGCCAGGTACCAGACAACCATCCATCTAATTTTTGCAGCCTTTGGAAGGCAGCAAATAGATAAGGTTTATTTAACCTCTAGTAGGTAACCATGTATTGCTGATAATTTTATGTTTTGGTTTGCTGAATCACAAATTGTCCAAGCCCTTGTATAACAGCATTTTTTTTTTCTTTTCCCATGGAATACTTTTGTCTTTGCTCTTCCCTTTCAAACTTCATTCTTCTTCAGGGATGCAAAATCCAGCAAGTATTCTTTTTCACTTTGAAAGGTGGCTGCCTTCAAGTTCAGAGCCAGTCTTCTGTACTTATTTATGTTGCCTTCAAAAATGAAAGTAGGAATAAGAGAAGAGGCTGTGACAGTCTCGGAAAGTGTTTCTGACATTTCATTCACACTGCAGCATTTCTTTGGAGTAGCCTCATCTCAGACTAACCTAGGGATCTGCATGGAGGGACACAAAACAAAGAATGAGTGCCGTTGAAAGGGAAATCTGCTTAAATCCAGCTAGGCCGAATGCCTTGTCAAAATGACAGGAGAACACAACCGAGAGGTCTTGAAAGAACTTGCCACTCATCATAGCAGACTTCACATCATTTTATACTTTTGTGGCTTATATTAATTTAATCTGGAGATACTGGCTCACAATTTTCCTATCAAGCTGTTGTAGGTCTAATATAAAGTTATACCATCCCTTCTTTCAGGCAATGTAACTTCCACAAACTTTCTTTCAACCTCAGTGAATCCAGGAACAGAATTAAAATTTTTGTGAACAGAACTGGAGCTGCAATTTTAGCTGATTTCTCCCCTCTAGTTGCCAATGCCCCCCCCCCCCCGATTCTCCCTCTCATGCTGTTCCCTGCTCCTCTAGAGCAGCATTTCAGGGATCATTTGGGACTATAGCTTGGAGGGGTGAGGTGAGGAAGTCCCTTTTTGCAGAAGGAAATGCCTTGTTAGAATGATGTACTGTGGGATCCAAGTCCCGAAATTCACTTCCTTTTTCTTCTTGACTTTTCAAACCTCTGATAGCTGCATTGGAAAGCTATGATAGCAGTTTGCTTCAATAAAAATGATGACTGAAAATGGTGCTAATGGCAGAAAGGAACATGCAGCTTTTCCTGTAGAAATTAATTAAACCAAACAGAAGCAGCCCTGATGTGTTTGTTAGTATCTATTCTATGTATGCTAGTTTTCTTGATTTGTGTTTTTCTTTTCTTTTTCATCTTGCAGCTGTGATATCTTACTGATTACAATTGCGGGAATGAAGCTACTGCGGTCTTCATTTTGTAATCCCATTCACCAGTTTATTACATTGAGCTTTACTGTGATCTTCTTCCAGTTTGACTATCGAGATATCTCTGAGAACTTCTTGTTGGATTTCTACATGATGTCCATTGTGTTTAATAAGGCAAGTGAATTGTTCTAAAAGTTCTGTTGTAATTTTCAATACTACTGTTCTTCCATCTTAGATTCTTCTTCTAAGAATGAAATTGCTGAGCGGTCAGGTTAGAACGGATAAAAGGAAGTACTTCTTCACCCAAAGAGTGATTAACACATGGAATTCACTGCCACAGGAAGTGGTGGCAGCTACAAGCATGGACGGCTTCAAAAGGGAATTAGCATATGGAGCAGAGGTCCATCAGTGGCTATTAGCCACAAGGTATAGATAGGGGCTCTGGGGCAAGTGATGCTCTGTCTTCTTGGTGCTTGGGGGGGGGTCAACAGTGGGAGGGCTTAATGTCCTGGCCCCACTGGTGAACCTCCTGATGGCACCTGGTATTTTTGGCCACTGTGTGACAGAGTGTTGGACTGGATGGGCCTTTGGCTTGATCCAACATTGGCATCTCTTATGTTCTTATGTTGTTTTATTTAAAACTCTATAATGTTCTTATACAGCTGTACTGTAATTCTGTATATCTAATTGTTTAAACTTTAATTTTTGAAAACCTTCTCAAAGAATAGGAAGAATGCAAGCAAATCCCTCCACATCATCAGAAAAAATACTCAGAGTAAAATGTCTTTGAAATGTGATGTTGACTTCTATGTTGGCATGATGCTGTAGAAATTCACAGCTGCAGAGTAACTTTTAGAAATAGAATAATTAATGAATTGGAACGTGACTTCCTGGGTCATTTGTGAAGGTCAGGTTGCCAGACTAATTGCCTGAATTTTTCTTTATCTCTTTAGTATTTCTCAATTTTCGCTCAGCAAGCTCCTAGAGAAAATTACTCCATTATCTAATTTGTTTTTAATCTCTTTTATCTGACTTTCTTTCCCACTTGTTTTCAGGTCATTATACCCTGTTTATGTTCTTTAACACTATCCTTAAAATATGGCACAAATGATAGCTAGGTGCCATGCTTCAAGATTACATAGGAATATAATTCCAGAGAGGTAGCTGTGTTAGTCTATTGCAGGGGGGGGGGAATCCTGTGGCATGTTAAAACCTCCCAAATTTTATTTCTGCATCAAGTTTTTGAGCACCAGAGCCCATTTCTTCAGATGCACCATTGTTGAAAGTTCCTTTTTGTGCTTTACATTCAAAGTACATGAAAGAATACATATAACTTTGTGGGGCCGGGCCACTATGTCCAGCATCAAAAATTACCTGTGTCACTGGATATGGACAGATACACAACACTTTCAGTGGAAATGACCTAATGGTAAAACATGTCAATAGTGCCAGCCCCCAAAGTATCTGGGGATCAGAGTGGTTCCTAAGAAAACAGAAATTGGCCATCATGTTATGACATTATGACTAAATTCTATACTGTCAGGGACCACTTGATAGCCTTGAGATTGTAGAGTTCTGGTGGTGGTGGGGATCCCTCCATTGTTGGGATATTGTGTCATTTACCTCCTAGAAAATCCAAGAGGTGAATTATTACAGTAGTGCAGTATCCAGTGATACATATTTCAGTACGCAAAATATTTTCTTGTCTCTTATGTGTAGTTCCTGGGAGTTTGTTTTGGCCACTGACCTGCCATTTTAGATATTGGAGTTCCCACAAATAGAATATAGTTTTCAACAATAAGTACCATACTTTGGGGGCAAAGCTGAGAATATTTTAAAGAGGTAGATCTTGGCAGCTGTTGTTAGAATGTGCAGATATGAGTTTATTCTAGACATTTGAAGCAAAAGAAAGAATGTTTGTTTAGAAGTATCTCTGTCGAATTGCATGTAGGGTGGAGGATATTGGTGACAGCTAAGAATGAAAATAGTCTGTACCGAGCTGTAGTAAAATTGGTTTGTAGAGCAGGAAGCTGGGATAATGAATAAAACTATAATACTGGGCATTAAGTAGAAAATTATAGGCTTGCACTGAGGAGTGTAAAAACAGTTATAGGACTTGGATTTTGCAGATTGTCACATTTTTCAGATTATTATATTGTTACATGGAGTTGATCCCCAAGAGTTTTTGAGATGGTGTAGGCTGGCCTTCTAAATGGATCATTTGGGAGTAATGATATCTTTGTTGAGTGTCTGTACATTTATAAGTATGATTCCTATTTGGTCAGTAGCAGTATATCCATCTTGTTTTTGAACTCTTTGTGGTCTACTCTGCTTCAGCAAGAAAAAGAACTGACAGCTTCAATCAATGCACAACTCAGTCACTGTAATGTTCACAACTATTCTTCAAAGAGATAGAAAACACATTTTTACTGCCACCACCTTTGGCAATGTAGAAATAACTCTGAAAGTGACAGCCAGGAACTTGTTATTCACTGAAGGTGTGAATTTTCCCATGTCTGAATGGCAAGGCTTTTTCTTGAGTGTCATAAGCTGGTATAATCATCTTGATAGAAGAAGAAGGTACATCTAAGCAATGGTTGAGAGAACATTTCCATTTTATCCTCCTAGCCAAAGAAAAACATAGCAGACATTCCCAGTATGATTTTATGTCAGCTGAAATTTTTTTTATCTGTCATCAGTAATGAGCCTCTATAATATATTCCTTCCTCCTTTATCTCTGTGCTTATATTAATGAAATCCAGTTGGATCCTGGGATGCAAATCAACATACCTGCTTTATTGAGCAAATAAGGCTACTGGAGCCCAAATCCCAGTTCCCATGTTTTTCCCCCCTGTGTTAGCGTACAACTATGTAACCCACACTGGAGTGATTTCGTTGTCAGTAATGTTGACCCCCCCCCCTTTCAACATGAGAAAAATGTGGCTAAATGGCACTTTCCTTGACCAAGAAAAGAAACATGAGGACTATATTCAACACCTATTATTTTTCTTCAGCAGCCTCTTTACTTGGATGCGAGAGAGGGTTTGCAGAAGTGTTAAGTGTGGTAAAGTTGGTGCCAGTCAGAGTAGAAAGTACTGACCTTGATACACCAATGGTTTGATTCGGGATAAAGATGATTCATGTGATCAACAACAAGTATGGGGTTGGAATCCCATGTTTGTTGTAGAATCTGTAGCTTCCTTGAGAACTAGTAGAATTTGCATTGTGGTGGTAATGTATGATTTGGGATTATCACAGAAAATTGCTGATATCTATTTTTTCCCCTACAAATGCCTAGTGGATTCAGAAGCCCATATTTTAAATTGACTTAAGCATGATTCACTCAAGGTTTGTCATTAAGTGTTAGCAAGATAACAGTGGTAGATAACAAAATGGAACAAAGTTGTCTTTAAAAAATCCTACTTTTACATTTTGGCAATCAAATTAAATATTCTACGTATAAGATGTTTGTAGCAGAATGTTTTGCTACATGCTTTACATGCTCTGATTAACTGTTGACCTTTTGCAAGTGTGCATTTGGCTCTGGTTGGCAACAAGGTCAAAACCTGTCAGAATTTCTTATGAAAAATGTTACAAAATGAGTCTGTCAGCTTGAGCAGGAAGCCTACTGCCGAGGTCTTCCTTGGATTGGGGAAGAGGGAATTTCACAAACAATTGCAAGATTTTACCACAGCGAAAACAAAATTAAGGATAGAATTTCCATTCTGATTTCAAGATTATCTAAAAATTGCAGACTCTATCTAAATGTTAAATCTGAATCTTGCTGAGCAACCCTAAAGCTCACCTTTTAGGTATCAGCAGCAGCACTGAAGACAGGCCACAGACCTGGTGTTGAAACCAGACATATATACTAGGGCAGGAAAGACTGCACATAAAAGCATGGTGCTGTGGAACAACACACATTTTCCTTGACAGAGGTCTGCGATTCAAGCTCTGCATATGCTTAACTACCAAACATATCTGAAAGGAGCCACAGGCACAACCATGAGCCCCTATCAGTGGGGATGGGCTGCTCATGCTGAATGCCTGCAGCGCACCAATCAGTTGCTTTGCACTTTCCAATGTATTCATTTGTCTGCTACATTCATGAGGATCATGACTTCTTCTTTCACCCTTTCCCCTATCATATAGTTGGCATGGTTTATCACAAAAGCAGTGATAGGATTGTTTTAATTTTATTTATTTATTTATAGTCCATCGTTCTCACGGAGACTGATTACATGATCAACAGGACCAGACATCCAATAAACAATTCAATAAGATTTGGATTGCAGAAATCTGAAACAGAGCTGAAACAAAGCATAAGCATTAACATGACATATTAACCAGTGCAGAAATTACACAGTAGGATCATACATAGCAACAGACAGTATGTGCTGTACACAGCAGTACAGTCCATAGTTCCTATACCTTTACCAAAGTGCCTTTCTGAAACATTTCATTGCAGTATACCCTATTATTTGTGTAAAGAAGCCCTCTTGAATACTGCAGTATTCAGCTGCAGCTAGGAGGATGGGAGCCTACTGACCTCAATCAAGCATGCGATTCCACAAGGTGTGGACCGCAACAGAGAATGTATGTGTGTGGGTGGTTGTGGATTTTATACATTTTCAGGGTGGCACCTGCAGAAGGTCCAGTGACTGGGTCGGATAGCCAGAGAAAGCCCAAGAACAAAAAGGTAAAGGTGCTGCTTAGCAAAGAACAAGATAAAGAGAAGCCCTGTGAGTGAGGGTGAAATCGTCATAACGGCCTACCCCAAAACCACGAATGACTTGTCCTAAGAGCTTTACATAGAGTTTGAAAAGCATGGGAGATAGGATTGTGCTGTGGGGAACCCCACAGGATAGGTCCCACGCTGATAACTGTTCTCCCACAGCAGTCCTTTGAGTCCAGTCCATGAAAATGATTTGACCCAGTCCATCACACCCCCTCAACAAGGTGGCATGGCCCACTGTATTAAAGGCAAGAGATAAATCTAGTAGGAACAACAAGGAAACTTGCCCTGTGTCTACATTCAGATGAAGGTCATCAGCTAAAGTCACTGGGATGGTCTCTGTCCCATAGCCCAGCCTGATGCCAGACTGAAAAGTTATCCAAGAAGAGCGGGAGTTGGTCCTCTACAGTTCTCTTAATTGCTTTATTTATTGTTTATT